GATGCTATTACAATTTTACTGCTTGTGAGCAGTGGTCCATATCTACATTAGGACTTGAACTCAGTAGTGCCAAGTCCTAGCTCGAGAATTGGTTGCCAGAACTTGCCAAGGATTAATATTAACTACTACCACTTCATCATGACTATAATGCTATCACTTCATCATGCGTGCAAATTCTTGTATTCATGGAGCAGACGCTGCAGACGTGAGAGAGAGAGAGAGCGGCTTCAATCATCGTTCTAGTCATAGCGTTATTTTTGTCAACATTTCAACATCATGTCAACATGGGTACCATCATATGTTAAGAGAACCAATCTCTTTTCAAGGTCGAGCCAAGTAAGAGCTTAAGAGCCGTAGTAAAGTTGTGCTTCATATTGATTACTAAGGCCTTTCGAGAATCATTGCGATCTTTAAGCAGGCGAGGATTTAACTATGCAAGCATCGGACAGACATTACCGTCTTCATTATTTTTTATTATAAAGCAGATCTTCTTCGCTTTCACATTTAAATATTTAATTATAACTGACCTCTTGAATATTACAGTTTCATACATAAATAATCTCATCACACCACGTCTTAAAGAAGGTTCGCGTTGAAGTCTTTTGTATGTAAATTTAAAATTAAATAATTTAAATAATACTTTGTTTGTATAATTGCGTTACACATTTCGCAAAGTATAGTTAGAAGATTATGCAATATGGGCGCACTAGTTTACAATTATTGGCTCTCTTTAAACGGTGTGGAAATTTGCCGGCTTCGTGCTTTCATTCCTTGGTTCATGAATAATGTAGTTCATTAGGCAACTCATAAATTGCAATAGAGTAGTGTCGTGTGTAGTTTAATAGTTACATTTCGATAAGGTAATAAATTATTTTTATGAAAGGTACAAATTAGTAGGTAAAATTTGGACATTTAAAGAATTTTCTTTCCCAAATGTACATATTATTCATATGGTAATGACTAAAGACTGAATGATAGTCACTTTTACCTGTAAATAAAATATCATCATAATCATTATTATCAGCGTATCGCAGTTCACTGGTGGATATATTCTGTATATATTCTGTGACATTAGGGCATATCACTTTGTCAGTAATAAAAAGTAATCATTAAAAAAATCCTAGTTGTGACACTAAAACCATATTATTAAGTTTTCGCTTTTCCCTCAATCATAATCCCTTGGCCCAAAATAATAACCCCTCTCCCCCTGAATACTCCCGTTTCTCTCAAAAGTGCTCGAGGCTTGTGTACATAAGCAGCTGTCGCAGTTTGTGTACCAGAATAAGCTTCTTAGCCCTTCACAATTCTGATTCAGACGTGGTCACAGCATAATTACCGCTCTCCTAAAAAGGGACTGGCGATACTAGGGAAAGTATGGAGGACACCAAGGTCACAGTCCTGTTATCTATCCATTCCTACCTTATGATCTCCCCGGAAGCCCTGGAATGGTTTTCCTCCTATCTTCAGGGACGACAACAGTGTGTTCATGTTGACGACTTGTCATCGACTTGGTGTGATCTTTTCACTGGCATCCCTCGAGGCGGCATATTATCTCCGTTATTATTTTTAATAGTTATTAATCCCGTAACTCAACATCTTCAGTGTGCGTATCACCTGTATGCAGACGACTTGCAAATTTACGCCCGATTGAGAGTTGAAGACATATCACACGCCATCGATAAAGTTAACAAAGACTTGGACTTCATAAGGTGCTGGTCGACGAGGTTTTCTTTGTCGGTTAACCCAGCCAAGTGCCAAGTGATCGTCATAGGACGCAAACAGATGTTAATTAGGTTGGATATGACGGTCAGCCCACCAGTTGTCTTCGATGACATAATTATAAGTCTGAGTCCAGCACGTGACTGAAGGGCACAAGTTGCTCATGTCAGCCAAAAAGTCACTACATGTCTTCGCGCTATAGCGTCTCAAGAATTTCTTGTCCACTAAAACTAAGGCTACGCTTATAACTGCATTCGATTTGTTTTTTATCTTCGCAAGCATGACCATGTGTCTGCTTTACGTTCCCAATTGAAATGTCTCCCAATTTATCAGCACCGCAGTCTGCGTGCACTAACATATCTTTTTCATTTCTCAATTCCCCATCGTATCGTTCATACCTGATTACCCGATTCTCCATTTTCGTTTCCTATGCTCCAATCATGACCGAAATCTTCGGTCAGCGAAAAATATGCTTCTTCTTTGCCCCCCTCACACTTCCAACTTCATCAATTATTCCTTCTATGTACAGTCAGTTCTTCTCTGGAATGCACTCCCAGTTGAAATCATGATGTCCACTAACCGCTTTACGCTCAAGAAAAAAGTACAAAATCTTATCCAAAATGAGTTGGCAGAAAGGTCACACCGCTAGTAACCCACTGTGTATTTTGATATTTGTTTCTTTCTTGTTCTCTCTTTCACCTACCGCATCATTTTTCTATCACCCGCCGGTCGACTGGCAGAGAATGCCCTGGGCATTAGGTCCGCCTGTGTACAACTTGTGCATTAAGTTATTATAAATAAATAACTATAAATAAAACACTTAAAGCTAAAAAAGTTTTGTTTTTTAGCAAGTTATGTGTAAACAAATTTCATAAAATACTAGGCACTAATATATAATTTTAAACCCATGGGAACCCAGTGGTAACGTTGGATATTTTTAGAAACAATGCATTAAAAGTTGTACAGTTCTTTCTTTCACGAAATTAATATTTTCTATTGAACTCCAATAAGTAGGACAAGTATCTCATGTGGATATTTGCGAAGCTTAAAAGTCTGTAATCATGTTTACAGGCATTTTTGGACATGCCCTTTTTAAAATAATAATAATGAAAATGTAATGAGACCTAAGTCATTTCGTTATCTTTTTTTACTTTTTGTTTGTACAGAAATCCTTCCAGAAAACCAAAGAATTTGCTAGTTAAAGATGTGCTTTTCTTTATTCCTATAACGTATGTCTTTTTATTTCTCAAAATAATAATAAGTTCACACATCACATACGGCCGTTGATCCCAAAATAGACAGAGTCTACTACTATCGACATATTAAACCCAAACCCAGAATAAATGATCGTGCACATCACACAATTCGGCTTGGGTGGAAGTCCAAGCCACGGCCTCTAATTAGCAGTCAGGTCCACTTACTACTAGCGCTCAAAACAAACTGGCACACTTTTTATTAGCCATAGGTGACGTGTTACTAGGAAATGCTGTTTTGTGAGACAAAAAATGTACAACTGGTACATTGAATGTTAAAAAGGCATTAAGTTCTTTTTAAGTAAAGAAAAATGATAAGGTCATGTCTGCCCTAAACCCTCGAAAGAAAATTCGAACTCAATTTAAGTATGTGTTTTATTTTTAAGCTGAACATCAATATTTTTGACATTTATATGAAATAGTTTCAATTAATCATTTTCAAATTTATTTTTTTCATCACTACCTCAAATAATTTCAGAATACCAAACGTCACGAAACTCATGCCATGTGGAAAACGGTATAATTATAACGTCCAAGAGTATTTCTATCTGTGGTAGAGCTTTTAACTAGCTTTAGATTTTAAGATATCTACTTATTAGGTGCTATTAAAACATGTGATTTTGATAGCACCATATAAGTAGAATTTGTGACGCAAAAATTTTGTGTTCGTTAGGATTGCGGAGCCCCTTTTCATATCTTAATGAAATTAATATCATTATTTAGTAGTAAATAACAAAAATTTGCCTCGGTCCTCGATTTTGTATTATAATACATACTTTTAAAATTATATGAACATGAAGGTGGCTCTTCGATCTAAATCTTTGGATTGAGGAGCCACGTCAGAACTAGGAACATAATGGATGTACATTTATCATAATTTAGTATGCTTTTATAATACTTAAAAGTAGTTAGTAGACAAAATCTGAGGTCGGTAATTTTAAAATTAAGAAAGTTACCATACATAATATGTGGCTCCTTAGACCATACGTACGATTATCATTTTTCAAAAAAGCAGTCTTTCAATTGATGCGCAATTTCTTCATCATTTATTAGTATTTATATTAAAGTGTCAGTTATTAAATATGAGTGAATTCGAGGATATGGCACATTTAACCTGGGTCCTCAATTAAGATGTTTCGGTAAATAGATCTGACTCTAATGTACTTATAAGAGAACCTACTTGTGACGAAATTTGGAACATAAAACACAAAATGTACGTATAATCCTATCATAAAAAAGTACGAAGTTATTAGCTATTCTTTAATTTCCTAACAAATTTTTTGTAATATGTTACCTTGTTGTTATATTGTTGTACCTTGTTGTTTATATAAGTTATTCATGGACATCCCCATGAATAACTTATATGAAAGGTATTTTTTCATTCCGTTCTGTACACAAGTCTATTTTATTTTATTTTATCTAATTATTTGGAGGTAACTGCAAATTAATATGGTTACCTACCTAGTTTCCGTTTAAAATCTGAAGTGGCTCCTCAATCCATATGGACATAAAATTTTACCGCTTACTTACGTTCTAAGCATACCTTGATCTACTCTTGCACATCATCAGTATGTCGTCATTATGCCCCGGTAAAATTTTCGCACGGAAATGAGCAAGCTCTTTAAACTTCTTTAAAATCACTTGTATAGTAATATCCCACGATGTTCTCAGGGAAATGAAATCGGACGCAGGTGTCGTTGGGAGTTTTAAAACTAATTTCCGTATCTGTACATCTGTGAAACAGATATATCTGGGCGATCTCAAGCCTTTCTCTTTGATAAAAAAATAAAGAGTCATTGAAAACTTGATTCTCTATGCCTGGTGTATATAATTCTTGTACCGGGTAATGCGGTACATTATGTGCTTATCTTTTTTTTCATTATTATGGAGACATAGGACTTACCTGTTATTAAGGCCTCAGTAACATTTTAAACAATGAAGCAATTTTATACGCGCTCACCTCAACAATAGGTAATTCATATTACTACAACATTATTGTAATGAAATACATAGCAATAAACATGTTAAATGGTAACACCATTTAACATCAGGCTTTTATTATTACATACTCTTATGTATGATCTATTGCTTCTTTGAATATATCCGTGGACTGTAAATACTATAAGCATTTTTGATTATTATTTTTTGTAGTCTAGTAATCACAGTTCAGGCTATGCCTAACTTAGAATCTAATGGAGAAAGTATAAGGTGTCTCAAGTTCTAATAGTTAGTTTTCATTTGTAGTAAGATAAAAATGATATGACGAAACATTTAATAACTAATAATAATCTAATTGTTTTCTTTCATGCACTTTCAAAATTTCCTTTTTGCGGATCAACATGTTCATTCATATTAATTTCATTACAGAAAACCAGTTTTGCCTGCGATTCTCTCGCCAGACCGACTGGAGTAACACTGAAGACTTCGTTTTCAACACAAGTATTGTTCCATAGTACAAGTAAGTTCTCACACTGCCTTCTCTACTGAAACTGTAATAAACTATCTTCTACCCCTGTGCTCACTACTCTATATTTCCTCAGATATATTTATGTATCTAATTCTATAATCGTATCGGTGTCTGCTTGGCACAGATGTGAATCAATGTTGACACTGAAGTGCAGTGCTCATTAATTTATCGTCTTTCCGACTTTCACTAATTGAAACTCTGATACACCTACATTTGCGTTCTGAATCGCACGGTGAAATCTAATCGTGCAAAGAACATTATCACGGAGCTTAGTTAATGATACTCTACCAGCTTACTCAGGCAGCATTGGATTTTGATCCTTGTCTTAATACCGAAAATGAGTGGATTCTTTAGCATACGTACTTAGTGGCCGTCGCGTTGCCCAAACAGGCTCGAGGTCGTGCTGAGATATATTCGAGTGAAAGTTGTGATAATTCCCCACCTCCGTCATCGGTCACTGTCTCGCATCGCTGTATTCACTCGTTTTGATCAACGTGATTGCTTATGCGTAACCTTTTAAATTAGAATTTGATGGTTGGTAGAATTTAATCAGGCGTTTCATGGTGAATCGCTCGACTAATATAAAAGAGTAAATTGGCGATAAGTTAAGTTAGATAAGTTCACCTTTAGACGAGACGCTTCATAAAAATATTGCTTTTTGATATAACTCTTATTTATATTGCGTTATTCATATTATTGAGAGACGTTTTTACCGACCAGATCTTTACATTTAAACATTAAGAAAATACAATACATTCTTATAAGTTAAAGTACATACGTGAACTGTTCAAAAAATGGATTGTGAACAATCAGCAAAGGCTATATATACTTATGCACCTACTCATCCTCTATATAAACAGATGTATACAGAATTTGTTTTAACGAAAGAGACAGTTTTCATAGACAGGTTCTAAATGTTTTCGATACGATTCTACGCTAATAGCACGGGTAAATAGAAGAAAGTGTCAGCTGTAGTGCGATTTACATAACAGCCGGCAGAACCAATGATATTTTACAGAACACGACCGAGCAAATAATATTGGCACAGACCGCTCTTTTATAATCGTAAGACATGAAGTTTCAAAATTAATATTAATTGACAATTTATTACGAGCTAACTATTTGAAATCCAGAAATTGTATGTTCCCACCACGTGACAATTACTAGTTTATGAAAATGTCTAATCGACTTTAATTGTATAAAAACATTACAAGAGGAAATGCCCGTGTCGTTCAATCATCAAACAATGTTGTGGTATATTTAATGATGTCATTGTATCTATCTATTAATTTAAAAAAGGTTGCCATGAGGTTGTTTGCCCTTTCTTCTCATAAGGCCTCAACCTCTTGGAAACGAGCGGTTGTAGATCGACACATGCATATAATAGATTTCAATACGTATGTATATATTTATTTTGCCAATTAACTCTCCCCGATCAAAGCAATCTAGTAAGGTGGGGAAAAGCTACAGTAAAGGCTAGTACGAAGTGCAGTGCGGAAATAGGTACAGCTAGGGAATTCCTAACAGGTTGTAAGGCGCTATTAGACCGGGTTCGTCGTCCAGACCGGGCATACGAGTATTTCTTTATGCAATGTTAATTAAGGGTGTAGTACTCGTAAAACTCACGGTGCGTAAAAGACCACGCTTTAGAAATAAACAAGTATTTTGACTTAACTCTAACTTAACTAAATAGTAAGTAAGTAAACTAAATATTCAAAAGTTTTTTTCTTGCAATTACTTGAAAATGGTAAAAGTTAGACCAAATAATTCAAAGGAAAATGTGTAGAGCTTACGACAAGATGGCCTCACCTGTCACCCCCAGGCCTGCGCTTATGGAGGATGGTGCGACCTCCGGCGCCTAAGTCGTCAGCAGTACCTGGCCCGTAGAAGGAGACGGTGGAGTTCCACGCACTCTCGCTCCGTACGATGGCGGCAATCATATTACCGAACGAGAGAATTCGCACTCCGATGGCCGCCACGAGGCCACGCCTTTGCTCGACCCACACCAGGCATTCTGCCAGCGTGTGTAGAGCCTGCTCCACGTCCGGCCATCGCAGTAGTGACACTCAGGCGTTGGCTCCTTATGGATCAGACACAGGTAATCTCCGAAAAATCCTTTATCGGTGATCATCTGCGTCAGCCGAAATGAGAGGGTTCCGTGATGCCTCTCGAGCAAATCTTCCATTACGGGTCTTACCACCGCGATAACGGCGTGCCCGGCGCTTGGTTACCCAAATCGTTCCATCCACTTCTCCACGATGACCTGGCGGAGTTGGAATTTCTGGTCCTCGATTTCTCGAGTCTCAGGACTCCGACCCAACTCCTGCGCCTTCAACTTCATAAGACAACCATATTAGCCGCAACTGAAGAAATTGTCGGTTTTTAAGGTGGAGTGAACTAGTTTCCGGTATTTCTTGACTGTAGAACACCTTTTTAAGTTTCTATTCGAATTAAAATCTATTATACCGAGTACAATGGCGTTGTAACTGCTAAGTGTCGTTTTAAAATTGAATACGCTATTAAGGTTAGTTAAATACATAAAACAATTAAAATAATAGCTTTATGATTGAGTTATTATTACTTACATGACTATTTAATTGAAAACATCAAATGCTTAAGCATAAACACCATTTTACATAATTTGTTATTAGGGTAAGGTGGGGATCAGTGTTACACGGGGTACACTGATACAATGCACATATCTCCTTCTCTGTCATTCAGTTTTCTAATGTTGGTACACAGCTTTGACAAGCTCATAGGCGGCCATATTGAAACTGTTGTCATTGCCTCAGTTTGTACCGCGTTTCAGAGAGAATAGACAAAAAACGAATTTATGTGATCAAACAAAGATAAAATTACGATAAAGTTTTTCATTTGTTGCCTAAGGTTTTACATGAAGGTAAGTGATTGTGAGTTTCCTCTATTCACTGTCAAACTTCAAATTATCGTTAAGTTGTTTTTTGTAAATACAACCTATAAGAATCACTTGCTTCTTTTTTCGAGTTACCTCGCCTGGGGCACTGTGTTACGGGGCACTATGTGACACTGTAACAATGAACCCCCAACTGACATTTCTTTTTATATTGTACTTAGGTTTTAAAAGATGGTGCGCAATCGTAAGAGAAAGACGGATTACGCCCTCCATAGTGAAAAAAATATGAGAGAAGCGATTCTGATGGTAGAAAGTGGGATAAGTCTTCGAAAGGCAGCAAAGGAAAAAAATGTTAATTTCATGACATTGCAAAGATACGTAAAAAAGAAGAACGAATGTTCAGAGCAAGAAGCCGGACTTATACCACTTACTCCAAATTATGCCAATAGAACAGTTTTCAGTGCCGATCAAGAAAACGCTTTGCAGGACATAGCACATCTTAGAACAGTTTACTAAATATTAGTAAACTATTCTAAGATGTGCTATGGTTTAGATACAGTTGATTGTAGAAAACTTGCTTACGAGATGGCTGTTTACAATAATTTGAAGATGCCACATAGCTGGGAGAATAAAAAGATGGCAGGAATTGACTGGTTATATGGATTTAGAAAACGGCATGTAGATTTAACGTTAAGAAAACCAGAACCATGCAGCTTGACACGGGCAACATCATTCAATCGCCACAACGTGAATATATTTTTCAATAACTTGGAAGACGTTATGCAGCGATCTCCTTGTTTTGCAGATGGTAGCAGAGTTTACTGTTTGGATGAAACTGGAACAACTACCGTTTAAAAACCAAACAAAAACATTGCATCAAAGGGAGCTAAACAGATGAATAAAGTAACGAGCGCCGAGCGAGGAACACTGGTTACAACGTGTTGTGCAGTATCTGCAATGGGATCACCACTGCCTCCAGCAATGGTGTTCCCTAGGAAACAGTTCAGGTCTCATATGACTATTGGTGCACCATTAGGAACTTTAGGCCTGGCTCAGCCCACCGGTTGGATGAACAGTGAATTGTTTCTTGAAGTCATGAAACATTTCATAAAAGTAACTGCCTCCTCAAAAGATAACCCGGCTTTACTTCTTGTCACGATAGTCACCTGGCACCCGCGGTATTGAATATCGCAAAAAATAATGTAGTTACCTTATTAACTATACCACCACATTGTAGCCACAAACTGCAGCCACTTGACGTGTCTGTGTTTGGTCCGCTGCAAACATACTACAACGCGGCTGCTGATTCGTGGCTAATGCGTCATCCTGGAAAGACAATTTCCATCTACAATATTGCTGAATTATTAGGACAAGCCTTTGAGCGAGCCATGATACCCACAAATATCAAATCAGGATTTCGGAAAACAGGAATATATCCATTTGACAGACATATTTTCACTGACGAGCATTTCAAGTTGTTGCAATTAATATTAATGTTTAAATAATTTTAAATATGTAAAGAGAGACTATCATAGTTTATATCCATGTCAGTTACAATTTGATTAAATAAATATTTTCGTTGCTACATTGTCGTTTGTGTTTATTGTAACACCTTACCCTACTGATCATCGTTAACAGCCTTTCATAGTGCGTTGCTGGACATATGCCTCTCCTTACTCGCGCTCGATGTACGTTCAAGGATTGCCCGTGTTTCATTTCGCCTGTCATTTGACAGGCTGTCAGGGTCAACAATCGTCGGTTTATGCCTTTATGTTCAATTAACAGTTTGTTTCTTTGCAGTTTATGTTTCAAATAGCATCATTAACATTCATTTAAATAAATGAGGTATTACATAGATACATTAAAAATAATTTACAAAGACAAGGCCCTTGCAATGCCTTGCAATCATCCTTTTTTTGTACGTTCACCGAATCGAACCGACTAAAACCACAGGTATACCACTCTGCACCTGAAATAGAAGGGATCCGGGAACAGCTGTTATTAAAATATCCGGACCCTGCCTGGTACCTACCCGCAATAGCGCGGGAACCACCTTTGTATAAAATCTCCGATTTAGGCATCGTCCGGCACACGCTGACGCCACCTCCTCGCGGTTGAA